CACACACACACACACACACACACACACACACTAGGGCTGCAGCTACCTTATATCTATAACTGTTGCTTTCACTGTGCAGCAGGTAATCTCTCAGATGCTTCCTACAGAGCAGCTTGGGAGCGTTTTATTGACGGCAGGTAGTTAGCCCAGTGAACATTTGACAACCAGCTGCCACTTGCTCGTCCTTGAACCCTTTTCTCTTGTAAAACTAGAACACAGCTTTTGAAAACACTTCAGCAATAGCATGAATTTCATCCTGATACAGCTTGCCTCAATTTATTTTTAAGTGCAGGCAAAAAAAAGCCCACATTGCTGCCGTTTGTGGCAAAAGCACCAAACATGTAGTTGTTGCTGTAGTTGGTCTTTTCTGTCAGGGCGCAGAAAGACGATGACTTGGTGCACCAGGAAGAGGACCAGAGGATGGTACACTTGGAAACTTAGCGGTGCAAGCCACATAAAGAGATTCATGCCTTAACAGTTGTGTTATCAAACTAAACTTTTTGGTTTTACAAGAGAAAAACTTTGCTTTTGCAAATGTGTGCCGTCCTGTCTGTGGTAAAAAATAAAATAAAAGTAATAGGCTCGGCTTCACCTTACAGAACTGAACCAATGCAGAATGGAGCAACGCAGCCAAATCAGCAGCTTACCATTTCAAATGTGCACTGATGAGCCAAAACTGTGTGTGCACTCCTGCCTAATAACCTGGCCAAAGCAGCTCTGGCCCAATGAGGCCTGGACTCAAGAAAACCTCTAAAAGTTGTCTGGCACCGGTACATTCTCTGACTTTAATCAGACGTGTTCCAGCACTTCCCCCAACAGCTGAACAGCATATCACATACAAAGCTTCATACACTAGAACTCTAATGCTACCATTTTGAGCAGGAGGCTTGCAAACATTTACTCGTAGCCAAAGTCATGTGAGACCCAGAGACATGAGCTCTAACAGGTTGTCATAGCAGCCAATCAGAAGTTGCAAATCCCATTAGGAAAGCTCTAGCTCACTTTCTTCTTCTCATGCGACTCTGTACAAAGCAAACACGTCATTTCGGTGCTTTTATTTCACTACGGTCTAACTGATGAAACCCCCACTATGCTAACACTGAAAAGTCGTCCCTTCCCATGTAAGTCAACAGCCGCTGCTTTCCAAGAGCCTGACGAACAGCCCAGTGATCCACAATGTCAGCATGTCTCTTCCAGCTTTGTCCTCAGCTACAGCCATCTTTTATTCACGACTTCATTCCTCTGTTCGACAATTCTTTTTCTTCTTCCTGCTCTTACAAACGCTAACTCTATTTCAACCCTGCGTGAAGCGCATGATGAGCCGCTGTGCGACACTAACACAGAAATTATTTTCCTGATGATTAATGTGCTTGTCATGGTTTGTGTCTCCAGCATACAGTAGGGAAAGTTTCTTCTCTGAGAAATAACTCTGTGTGTAATTTAATGGGAACTAGCACTTTTTTTTCCTTGCCATCAGAATCAAATTAAATCCCCTTTTCCCTCAGCTGTTGCTCGTATAACCTCTGAAAAGATGAAATGAAATCAGGTGTCAGACTGCCGCTGTGAATTCACACGCACTTTACCTGCTAAATGACAGTGTTTTAAAAGCAGACGCCTGGTTTTCCTCCCAGCAAAAGCACTTAGCTGTCTTAAAGTCAGCTGTGACTCATTGATCACATTCAGAGGGTAATTCTCCGAGCCATGAACACGGCTTTATTTGTATCAAGTTCTTATATTTGAGTAGGAACTCTCCTTGTTCTGCTTCTGTTTTAATTTGTATTAGTTCGCTCAGTATTGATACATTCAATACAGCAAAAAAGCGAGATCATGCTTAACTCTGTTGGTCTGATTTCAATTTTTGTCATTATTACGAGTATTATCATTAAATACAAGCTTTGCAGCATCTGGTCCTCATTTCAGAAACTCACTTTTTGTACAGTTAAGTCAAACATCAATCAAAGAACAGCATTTGTTGTTGTTTTGTTGTTGTTTTGTTGTTGTTGTTTTGTTTTTTTTACTAAACTATACACTTTCAATTTCTTTTCACTGAGATCGATGATTTTCTTCTGTGAATATAGATTTTGACTGAAGAGAATAAATGGATGGTATCTTTCTAAAAGGGGGAAACACGTCTGATGTTTGGGGCAAAGAAAGGGCATTCCAAGCCATGAGCATTAAGTACTCACTGGGTACTGCTTATATATCCAGTTCAGTGACTTTCTCAGCTTTTGGCTGCACACTGATGAGGTTTGCTTGCTTGTTTTCACTCTTTGTAATCGTTGATGTTTTGCTTTTGAATGCAACTCAAGTCCAAAGCTAAAGTCATGGATGATGAGTAGCTTCCTCACTATTCCCATCCCGCCCTGAATCCATGAGTCCTCTTCCACCTTTCTTATGAGTATATTACTACTTGTCCATTGGCTGTTTTAGGACTAGTGTTTGTTGTAGTAGCAGCTATTTTAGTCTGCTGCTTCCACAAAGAGAAATTCCCTTTGTCCAATAGTACAGATATTACGGAGAACAATGACTCATCACTTGCATCAGTCACATTCAGAACAAATAAACAGTGGTGCTCAGAGAGCAGGGGAAGCCGTACTGCAAACAAATGGAACCTGCATTTTCTTTCATTCCAGAGCTTTCTGATCCTGCTTAGATGGCTGAGTAACGGCCTGCACAACGCCTGCGCTCTTACAAGCCGGCCACTGAAGTGAGAATAAACAGAGCAGCCAAAGGAAAGGGTGTCTGGAAGAAAGGTTAATAAAGACTAAGATAACTGTGTGACTGAAAGATGAAAAGGCAGACGAGATGAGACAGTGGGAAGGATTGAAAAGGCAGCGAGAGGGAAAAACAGATTGGCTATGCCGTCAGTGGGCGATTTTTTTGTGTCCTAGTTAGTCACCCTGCTTCAGATGTAGGGCCGGTGCTGCTGGTGGCAAGGGAAGGCCTCCTCTCTCACTCACAGGCAATTGGCCAGCAAGTCAATGTCAAAGACAGAACCATGAAATGGAAGCAATTTCAGAACATCCGCCTCTGGCAACAATGGCTGTCTGTTTTCTAAAGGCTAAATGATTCTGCTTGCAGACACTGAACATACACATGCAATTGAGACTATATGTGAATGTTGCAAGCTCAGCTGAAAAATATTTCATTATGAATGTATTCAGAGTCTGAATCCTTGAGCTCATCCTGTTAGGACAGTGAGGCTGCCAAGCTTCTGTCAATTGACTGCCTGGTGTTTGTGCACCCACACTGTGGGTGTGTGAGAGGTTTAAAGACACGGTGGCACGGACCGATAACAGAAACACCTTGGATACAGTGTAATACCCTGCAGTAAATACCAGCTTGGCATAGCACATTACGTTTGGCATTTTTTAAGACTTCCAGAGAGTTGGTCAGTTTTATTGCTGCTGAAAATGTGCTGAAAATAAAGCACAAGAGAGATCAGCGTTTGCAAGTCGTAATACCACTCAGGCTTTAGAGCTCTGCAGGGCTGTGTAGGTTTGAGGATTTTTGTGTTCTTTCTCACTGCGACGAAGATCTAAAAGATCTAAAAATGATTCTTGAACAATGACATAAGAAAAGGCTTATCTAGAAGTACTCCATGAAGAGTACCTGACTGTGGACTTCTTGAAGATTGAAGTGCATTTCTTCCCCAAGAGTCTTCTGACTAGAGCAGGGGTGTCCAATCCTGGTCCTCGAGGGCCACAGTCCTGCATGTTTTAGATCAGGGGTGTCCAATCCTGGTCCTCGAGGGCCACAGTCCTGCATGTTTTAGATGTTTCCCTCTTCCAACACACCTGATTCACATGATCAGCTCATCATCAGGTGTGTTGGAAGAGGAACACATCTAAAACATGCAG